TATGGAGCCAGGCCCTTTGACAACTAGAGAAAACCTCAAATGATAGGTGTCAGTTGCCAGGAGCATTGTCTACCTGGCTCCTGGGTATTATCCAGCCTTGGTCTATTGCAAATTATGCCTTTTTGAGAGTCATTATTTGTATATATAGCTCGGTTTGCCCCATAGGTAATAGTGCTTTTCGTGGTGCCAAAGTAGCAGATTTGATATTGAAGAAAAGCGGCTGGGAAGGTAACAGTAGGCACCTAATGATGCCCAAGATCAAGCTGCAATGTGAGGTAACAGTACAGAGTCTGTTTAAAAATAGGTTTCTGCCAGCGAGGTACGAGCACAGCATTCTAAATTCATGGCATCACCTGTCAAACATGTGCAAGGCTGCAAATTAGCCATGCTGAATAATTTCTTACCAAGACCCAGATGGCCAATTTGGCACTGGCTAGACAGTAGTGATTTTGATGTATTAGCACAAGAAAAATCTCCCGCGATCACTCACAATACTTGCAACCAATGTTATATGATCGCAACAAGTTTTAGTTTCATTGCAAGTACTTTTCTGCTACGAGACTAATCTACTACTATAGATGTGAATAAGACAAGTGCTCAACAGTTGCTCATTTGTGGGATAAATCTTATGGGACCAAAGCTGGGTATACACTGCTATATCTTTTTAGCTTGGTAGTATTTCAACAACTGGCCAACAATCACTGGGCAGGGTGATATAAGTGCATTGGGAACACCTCCAACGTCAGGTTACATAGCATTTGAGGTTGAAGACACAGGTCCATCAAGGTGTGTGCGTTAGTATTTAAGAGTACATGTATGTTATGGTATCGGTTATCGCGGAGAAAACTAAAATCAGATGAAGCATTCCAACCTGCCTGACCTTCTTCCAAAAGACTTGGTTGAGATTTGTAGTTTCAGGAAGGATGCAGTGCAGAGGTTGCCTGTCTCTGGTTTATGGGAACTTTTTAATCCACTATAGTATTTATTTATTTATTTATATCTACACACACACACCAAAAACAGCAACATGAACTACTGAATTACTTACTACAATCCACTGAGAGTAAATGACAGAAAGTTCTGCCATGCTACTGAAACCCACAGAATAAATGAATTCTAGAGAACAGGAAGCACATTAGGAGGAAACAACTGTTTAATTACTAATAGCGCCTGCAGCAGATTGTGATAGTGCCAATCACTAAATTAGGACTAAATAGGATTGTCTGCGGGGGTCATCATCATGTGAGATTAAGCTCTGTAACCTGCGGCATCACAACTGTCAAAAGGATTTTCTAACTAGTCCAGATAAAGTGGAAGTGGCAGCAGGCTGGCAAATTCCAAAGAACGACTGGCTGATTTCATCTGCTTGTATGAAAAGACGTTCACCTACAAGGGAAACCTACAGCAACAATACAAGGACGGTGGAACTATTTTGTTAGAGTTGGGTGAAAAGCGACACACACACATATAGGCCGCTGTACACAAAAGTAGGAATGGCTTCTGTGATTAGTAACATCCAGTGAACTCACTTCCTCTCAAATGAGTCACAGAGGAAAGCCCGAGCAGTATTTAGTAATTAAGGGCCACAAGACTTGGATTCACTGAAGTACAGGCCAGGATGGATGTGTTACAGACCTCGTACATAATCTAGGAGGAAATGAGAGCCATGCACAGAGCCCCAGTGCTCACTTCAGACCCTGAAACGTCCTTTTGTGTAACAGAAAAAAGGGCCGTACAAATAAAGCTGCATTGGTGATATATTATAAAAGGGACGTACACATAAAGCTGTATTGATGAACTATATGACCTACATTCATTAAATCTGAATAGAGTGGTCAGGTACATAGAGCTGTATATACATTACATCTGAATGGAAGGGTCATACACGTGGAGCTGCATTAGTGAATGATATGAACTCTATATGTTGAGAGGGATTTATCAAAAGTGGAGCAGACAAAATATGGAGCAGTTGTCCATAGTAACCCATCAACTTCTATCTCATTTTCAAAACTTAAAAGGTGCCCATACACCTTACGATTATCGGACGAAACTTTTCGTCCGATGATCGAATAGTCGTACGATTTTCGTACGGCAGCCCCACCCTGCCCCTATGATCGCAAGAATCATTTAGCCGTAATTAACCAAAAGCACCTGGACGAAATGCGGCAATTGATTTGCCGTATTTTCGTTAGCGCAAGCGCAGTGTACATCGTACGGCTTTTGACGGACAGAAACGCCAGCAACCTTACGACAATCGTACGATCTAGCAACGTTTTCAAACATGCTTGACTGTCAAAAGTCGTACGATTGTACAGTATTGTCGGTCGGACACTGCAATGCACACATACGATTATCGGACGAAAAGTCGATCGCATACGATTATCGTCCGATAATCGTAAGGTGTATGGGCACCTTTACCTGATCAAACTGAAGCTCCACTTTTATGCAATTCCCCTCATTGAATCTGAATTGAAGAGTCATACACGGAGCTGAATTGGTGAACTATATACATTAAAACAGAGGCAGGCAAACTAAAGGTGCCCATACACCTTGCGATGATCGTACGACAATCAGCAGGTGTATGGAAGGCGTGCGACCGTTTCTACTGTACGGCCCCACACCTTTTGTCTTACAAACATGTTTGAAAACCATCCGAAAATCGTACGATTTTCGGCTAGTTTGTGGCGGGCTCGTAAGACAAATGCCGCAAGCTCACACTGCCCGTGGGGCATTGGAATCATCGGAAGCCCGCCTCTCAGCGGGGCGGGCTTTTCGATGATCGCAAGTACGATCTGCCTGTCCAAGATGGGCAGATGGTACGTTTTTTGAATTACCTTACAACCATCACAAGACAAAGGTCTTGAGATGGTTGTAAGGTGTATGGCCAACTTTAGCAATCCAGCTACGGTGAAACTAGAAAACCAATCATGCATTTGTCTCTGGGAGTCATGCTTGTGGCTTTCAGTGTCCTGCAATGCCTCGTGGGACTTGTAGTTCCACCACAGCTGGAGTGCTAAGATTGCCTGCCTCTGTTTTAATGTATATAGTTCACCAATTCAGCCATGTGTATGACACTTCAATTTAGATTCAATGAGGGGAATTAATCAAAACTGGAGCTTCTATCTTCAGTTTCATCAGTTAAGTTTTGAAAATGAGATAGAAGCTGATGGGTTACTATGGACAACTGTTCAAAATTTTGATAAATCCCTCTTTATGTATGTAGTTCCCATTGTTTACTAATACAGTTCTATGTGTATGACACAGAATGTATATACTGTATAGCACTATGTACATGATCACTCCAAGTTGGCCATACACCAGTAGAAATTTGTTTTCAGAACATTCATTCGATTTTCTAATAGTTAACGGGAGAAGAAATGGACGATTATTTTTGATCATCTTGAAGGCCCAGGTTGGAAAATGTTTCAAGTGTCCTATCTGAACAGATGGCATTCTAAATGTTATTGTTCTCAGTCAGTAAAACACATACTTATTGAAAAGCACATGTGCCAGGAAAAGGTTCATTCAGAATTAGAACTTTCATGGTCACAAACATTCATTTTTTAAAGGATTATGTGTGGTAGAGGATTGTATGAAAGAACAATACAAATAAAGTTTTCTGTATAGTGTATGCAGAAGTGTGCATATAATGTAATATAGCCACTACAACCTCAAGGAAGGCCCTATGAACAGATTATGTTTCTATAAATATACTGATAAAATGTATTTGAACTTTGCTTTATATTATTCTTTCCATGAGTTTACAAATAATAAAAGAAACCTGTTTCAGGATTTATTCAATCGGTTGGGGTTGTTTTGGCCGTTTTTTCCAGCGCAGCCCCAATGCAAAAAAAGACTATTTGTCTTGTCACAGATGGGCACCATTCACACCACCATGTTGCGATGGCAATGCAGTGGTGTGCGCTTAAAAAAGTATGGCATGAACAACCGCCTCGCACCCCGCTGGGCACATAGAACTGAATGAAATGTCACCTATAACATTTCAATAAAGTTCTAACAAAAAAAAAGTAAACCGTGCCGATGTGCAATTAGCGCAGCGGCTGGTGTGAATGAGCCCTCATATATCAGGGATTCCAAGTAGCAGGTCTGCATGAAATCTAAGGCTTTTGAAGGAAATCAATTGACTCAATGCTCCGACGGACGATTCTTGCAAATTTCGTACAAACGTTATACAAAATACTAAGCATGTATGGGCAGCTTTAGCAGACATATGTAAAATGTAGGTGCATGGTGTATAAATAATCCAGGTTGTAGAATGGGCCTTTGTCACGCGAGTGTTAATGGACTGTGTACAAGCTTTAAGTGTTTGTAAAACACCCATTTCCCAATTTACTAAACAAGTCACAGTGTGTATTTTCCCATGACAGTGTACTGTTAATAATCCATAGTGATCACAGTATAGAGGACATGATGAATAGGAGTCATTGGCACCATCCAGGGCACACAGTACTGGTATAGATGGGGCAGTGTACTGTTTTTAGTCCATAGTGATCACAGTATGGAGGACATGCTGACCAGGAGTCGTTGGCACCATCCAGGGCACACAGTACTGACTGGTATAGATGGGGCAGTGTACTGTTATTAGTCCATAGTGATCACAGTATAGAGGACATATTGGCACCATCCAGGGCACACAGTACTGGTATAGATGGGGCAGTGTACTGTTAATAATCCATAGTGAGCACAGTATGGAGGACATGCTGACTAGGAGTCGTTGGCACCATCCAGGGCACACAGTACTGGTATAGATAGTGTACTGTAGATGTCCCTGGCTGTGATGGCTGATGCCTCTATACAAAACACATGGATGGAAGTGCTCAGTCTCTGTGTTCAGCTAACAGATCACATTACATAACGGTGATCGGAAGCTCTATTGTGTGCAGTAGGACTCGTGTGTACTTGTATGGGAGGGGGGTTGGGTGTCTGTGACAGTCCCAGGACAGGGACCGACCGGTACGATGAGATCGGCTGCCACTTACCTGCGCTGAAAGTGTTGAATCCGGATCCGTAATCCGAGATCATCCTCCCCCACATACCTGCGGGGGACGTCACAGCAGCTCGGGAACGGAAGATTCGTTCAGCTGGGTGGCGAATTGGAAGCTCCGTTTAGATCCAAGGGCGGCCTGTGAGGCTGAGATGAAAGGAAGCGATCACTGGTCCATGCTGGTGTCAGGATCCGATCTTCGGGGTCCCCCCCGGTTAGGAGATCTGTGTGGAAGCACTGTGGGGGTGTCGGAGACGTCAGGGCCGGGATGCTGTGTGTGATTGCTGGTCGGATTCCATGGAGTGAGGGGTGGGAGAGCCGAGGGGGAGGAGCCAAGGCTGAAAGCAGAGCCCAGGCACTCACTGACACCTTCACACTGGATGGCAAGACGTGGAGCCTCAGGCAGAGGGAGCTGAGAGGCTGCAGGCCTGGATACACGTCTACACACTGTACAATCAGTGCCTGGGAACAATACAATCTTATCCGTTATGTAGTGTTCACTTCCGCCAGTGATAAGAGAAATCTGCCAGAAATGATCGCCCTCTGAAAAGAGTCAGGGACCTGGAACAAGCATCCCATCACAGAAGTCAGCACTGGAAGCTGCTCATCACACCCAGGAAATTGTTTTTTGGGATTGTCTCATTTGTACCATTTTAATGAAGCCCACCTTATGTAAACATTGATCACATTAATTATGTAAAAGGTGCATTTATTATATTATACATTGAAGCCGGCAGACGCAATTAGTACATTATGGGGGCAATGTACAATCAGTTATGGGGGCAATGTACAATCAGTTATGGGGGCAATGTACAATCAGTTATGGGGGCAATGTACAATACTTTTTTAGCAACTTTATCCACTGGTCAGGACTTTAAGCAGAGTGAAAAGCTGCAGCAGTGTCCCTGTGATTGACGCCCTTGTTCCAATTACCTGCAACCCTAGTCACACATCCTGTGGCTGTAGTTGGGGCTGGAAGCACCTTGTGCTATGGCCTCTAGACCAGGGGTGCCCACAATTTTTGTGTTAAGATCTACTTTTCAAATGACGAGTTACATGAGATCTACAAATGGAAAAAACCTCCCTCGCTCTCTCTCTCCTCACTCTCTCCTGGCTGTCGCTTTGCTCTCTCTCCTGGCTGTCTCTCATCGCTCTCTCCTGGCTGTCTTTCCTCGCTCTCTCCTGGCTGTCTCTCTTCTCTCTCTCCAGGCTGTCTCTCCTAGCTCTCTCCTCTTGGTCTTTCCATCCTC